CATAAAACCTTATTGTTATTGTTATGCCTTGCTACAAGGTACCTACAATCGACGTTAACTTTCCACAATCGTGAGACGCCGCCGCCATCGTCGCGGGCAGCATGTCGAAACCATTTATGAATCGGTCACGTATGTGGTTAACGATTGCTCTCCGCCCGACATTTCCCGCATGATTTCTATTCATTCGGCGTTCGTCTTTTTCTTCAGTTTTCATTCAGTTCGATTTCCCACCAACACGGTGCATGCATGGAATTGACCAATTTCAATTTGCCACACATGCCTCGCCCCTGTATTATTAATAAGCGATTTTAAAGCGGTAGCGAAATTGGAAAGTTGCAAACGCGATCCGGAGTTTAAACACTAGACAAACTAATAAACGCTGCCGACGAAACTATTAGATACATTGCGGGCGCGTACCTGAGCGTCGATTAAACCAACCCGGGGTGCGCAGCTTATTGGCGCACAGCGAGTGCACAGGCCCTGCGTTGGTGGTATTAATGATGCTGAAAGTAAATTGAACATGCAACTGGTTACAACGCGAGCGCAATGTAAACGCGAGAACGCAACAGCTACGCCATTTAAAATGCAGTTAGTTTAATATTAAGTGACCAGCGCGCCGCAAATATACTTGTGACGCGTAATGACCGGCTTCGGCGGAGTCGAGCGCCTGTGTCGCGTGTGATTAAAGAGAGTTTAATTTTTAAATTGCATGTCTCGTTAATGTGTAATCGTACGCTACAATTGGAGCGCCAACTTTTTTTCTATACGAAGATAATAAATTTCTATCAAGTGAACACATTGATCACAATAAATTAGAATTAGGAAAATTAAAAAGTTTATTAAGTATCAAGTGGTTAAACAGGAGTTTTTGTCATGAAATTGGTTAAGAACGAGTGTAGTGAGCGCAGCAGCGCATTATTTGACTCACGGGGTATGATATTTCTCCACCCCGTGACTAAAACTCGTGACTAAAGTACTTTAGTCACGTCCGTGTTTAAAGTATCACTTTTTATGTCTCAAAACCGTAAAAAAACGTAAAAAAGTAAATTTTGTCAATTTTTTGAGTTTAATAATAGAAAAATGGTAGTTTATAGAAGTTAATTGACATTTTGGCGTAAACACATTGTGGGTCCATAATACAAAAAGCCAGCAGCTACCGATGTAAAGGTGTACATGTTGCAGGCTGTCATTCCATGTTGGTGAACACGATCGAATGCAGTAGTTGCGAAGTGAATAGAAAACGATAGGCTGTGTGTGATAATGCGGCGCTCGAACGAAAACAACCTTTTTGCGGCCGAACGATGCGGTGTAAATGGAATGAAAGCTAGTTGTTCCCAACTCTGATTGCCAATTTCTGCCTCGTAGACATTGAAGTATGGCAGCACGTTAAAACACACTATTTTTACTATTTAAACTCGGGGGCGCACGTTTTTGTGAACGCAGCGAACCGACGCAAAACGAATGGGAAAATTAAGAGCGCACACAAACGCGCCGCTAAAGGACTGCCTTCAAAATCGAACTTTTATTGACTCCAAATGCGAAGGGAAGTTCCCTAAAATGCGAATTCTCTCTTGAATAAAACCTGGAAGTGAGTGAGTGTGTAAATAAAAATAGAATGAAATTGTCGCCGTTTTCTAACATGTGTACAGTGTGTTTGTGATGAAAAATATTCCAACTAAAACCGCAAAACAAAACAATTTAGTATTTTAATTCGTGTGTATGCTTTTGTTTTCTTCGCTCGCATCCGCATTGGAATGGAAAAAAGCGGAAAACACGCAACAGACAAACAAACCGGCCGAAAAACGACAGAGAAAAACATTGTGTGAGGCATGGTGTCCGTGACGTGTGTTCTCGTAGAATATCTGCGCGCCGTGGTTGAAACTCGTTGTCTGAATTTATAAACGTGCGGCGGGCGGCGGCGGAAAAAAACGCGCTCCAAAAAGAGAGCGTCCGAGAAACCGCAACAAAAATATGCGCGCAGTGGACGAGAGCACCCCCATGCACCGGGCGCGCATTTTAATTAAAAACGAGCGGCATGTTTTCACCAATTAACAAATAATTGAACGGATTTAATAATTCGTTAATTAACTGCGAATGTGATGATGATGTGAAGTGCGTGGGTTTTGTGATCACACGCAACATGCGTGCGATAATTATCTATCGTCAGTGCTCAATTATTCCATTTCCACTACTAATCTCACCACGCTCACGTTTAATTCAATTGTACAACTTTTTTTCATCAAAAGCAAAAAAAAAAATTATATTACTAATAACTGCATGTATCGTATTTTTATCTCTGCTAATCCACACATTTTTTGCTAATCTTCCCAATGTGCTTCCATGGCAACAAATGATTGAAGCACATCTCGCTGTCCATCCGAACGTGGCAGCTGTTTTATAAAACGTTGATGAATTTATTAGTAATTCATCAACGTCGTCGCTGGTCGCTGCTCATCGTAATTGATTACCTTTAACATCGTCGCTAATTGGAAGTTCATTATATAATATTCGTCCTTCTATCTCTCCGCCGTTTATTATATTTTTTGTGACGAATCTTCTATTGGCATCATCATCATTACGCGCTTTTTTTTATTGCAACATCGTGCGGCCATGAATAAATGAAGGAAAATTGAAATGAAGGGCGAATCCGGGTACGCAGCGAGTTGTATAACTAGGGTAATAATTTCAAGGCGCCAATTAGTCAAGACAAGTCACATAAATTAACCAAAACGCTTTTTTTCCAACCTCCTCCTGACGGCTGCGCCTCGGGGCGCGCTTGTAATTTTCCTTCGTTTCGCCGAGTGCAAGTTTTCCAAAAGGGCACGACTTGCACCAACTAAGTCGCGACAAGTGTCTAACTGTTACAGTGGCGGCGGCAATGGCTTCTCCACGGAATACCCTATGAGTGATTCGTACAGGAGTGGAGCGTTTCCGGCGTTATGCGAGTTAGAAGCGAGTTTCAGTGAAACTTATCGCATTAATAATACAAACACATTTATTTCGTCCTTAGTATTGCGCGCGCCAACTCTTCGCAGGTCACTTTATTCATATTAATGCGCAAGACATGCTTTTCGGCATAAAATTGTTTCGTCATCGATGTGCCGCAGTTCAAACAAACGCCCCTTCGTCTTGATATCTGTTTTAGAAGTTTGCCTGTCTAGTCGCCCCTTTAGAATGAAGAATGGTGTATCAGTATCGTGCGCTTGTTCCACCAGCAATAATAAATGGTCAAACAATAAAAAAGAAGAAAAATACTGCTATCTACCCTCCTGAAGCTTTACCTTTCAAGTTTAGAGGTTTATTTTATTTCAAGGAGTTTCATTTTCTTTTCGACTAATTCCAGCGTAAAAGCTTAAAGTTTATAAATCTGTTTTGTGTCGGCGTGGGCAATATTTAATTTCGTTTCATTCCGGGCGCGTTTTTACGCTCGGAATTTAATTTATTATAATAGAAAGCGAAAACAAAATATAATGTGGTTGCGATTTATATTTTTAGCATTGTGTTTGTATTACGTCTGTAGTTCTGCGCGAGGTAAACGCTGCGAAAACAAGATTTATACGTCGAGCAAACGCACGCATTAGATTTGTAGCTTTCTTGCTTTTAGTTTCGTGGAAAAGAAAAGCAGCGCGCGCGCTGAAAAGCAAGCCAGCTGTGGTTTTTCTCTATTTTACTTCGTTCGCCACTAATCAAATTACATTATATTACAACTCTAATTCTATTTTCCAACTACATGTTTCCTCCGATGCATTAAATCAATGAACTAAACAAATTCCATGCTTTTGCGACGATTAATTCAATCATTCCACGCGCCAACATGCTTTATTTCTCTGACATTTTAGAAAAAAAAGGGAAAAAATCAGCATTTCTATTTTGGAAAAAAATCATTCACCGGCTGGCGGAGCGGAAGGACCCTCTTCGGATCGTGATTGTGCGTCTGTCTACCGTCTTGCGAGTCTGATTTAAAAATGAATGACGCAAGCAAAGCTTGATTTTATTAAGGCTTCACAGTCTTTTGCGGTCGACGCACGGGCTATAACTATATTGTTCCGGTGGCGCGGCGTTGGGTTTTTGCACTCACAGGCGAGTGGATCCCGCCGACGGGGGGTGTCCCTCAGGTTTTCCGACGCGGGCCGGCGGAAGGGAAGATGGAATGAATAAATGTTAAACTTGTGGCCTGTCGTAAAAATATTCAGCGGAGACGACGGGGTCTCGGGCGCGTTGTCTAACGATATGCAATTCAAATTTTTCTCTTAGATTCACTTAGCGCTGCCCCCAACCACCGCTGGGAACTAAGTTCGCGCGTTAAACGATACTTTTAAATTAACAAATTTACTCTAACGCGATAAATCCTTATAGAAAATTTTAATCCATCATTAAGATCTACTCCAAAATAAAAAAACATTGAATTAAATCATTGTCACCGAGTGTGGTGAGGTAATTATCACGTGTAATCCGTAATAAAAATCGCTTTATTTGCTAAATGTGTTTTTGTCCTGCCGCACGGATATTGCTTTCCGAACAATGAACAATTTCCACTTTATAATAACGCTGATGGCGTCGAATAAGCTGTTAACTGCGTGTTGGTAGCCCACGCGCAAACATATCCACGAACATACTCCTTCCTCGAGGCCCCACCGATACAACCAATTCGTTAGCGCCCTCGCAATCGCCCTCAACACACCTACACACATAGTTGTACAAACCGAGCGAAAACAAGCCGTGGCGCGATTTGAATTACGGAATATCCTGGCATTCCCGGCAGCCGGGACTCGACCCGTGTCTCGGTAGTTGTAAGTGGGAAGCTCGTACAATAAATTATTTTACGGGATCATAAAGAGAAACCGAGACAATCACCTTGTTCTGGTGCACACTCTGCGATTCTGTGCACAGGGCGCAGACATTTTGTTCTATACTCGGTGTGTACGTAAGTACTTACACTCTGGGTTGGTGAAATAAAACAAGACGAACCAGAAAAAAAAAGAAGCAGAAACTTTACTTACGATCCACCTACGTATGTATATGGAGCTTCAGCCAGCGTTGCGCCAAAGTAGTAATCGAGCAATTCTTCTTGAAGGACCCGCGCCAACGAGAATGCGAAGACCCTTAAAGCTGGAACTGTAAAAAGTACTAACTTATAAGATTGATCCTCATCCTGGAGTTGTAAAAACTGAAAATATATCGTGGAGGAATGTGCTCCGGGTGCAACGAGCGCAATTTGTTTTAGCACGTCAGTGATCTCAACCAAAGAAAGAAAAAAAAAAAATTGGCGAGGAAAAAGTTTTGCACAATTTTATCTAGCATCATATTTATGTAAGAGTTTAACAAAAGGATAATACTAATAAATCTGAATTCAATTTTCCAATAGGGAAATGAAGTTGTAAAAATAAATATATTGAGCGTCGAAGATGAAATTGTCAGAAAAACTTAGGGACACACACGTATATATTCGAAAGTGGAGTATGGGAAAGCCAGGCGCGAAGAATAAAATACGGGCGCGTGATTTATGGACGTGGAATTTATTGCGATTTTGGGAATTTTAAATCAAAGCACATATAAATCAAAATTGGAAAACTTAACGTTGATATTGCATTTAGAAGGAAAGCGATCGTGCATGTCTTGTTTGCATTATAAGTTCAGTTTAGTGTAAATTATTAATGATATTTTAAAAACTACTTCTTATTACAACGCAATAGTGTATAACAACGTTTAGCAACGTGATGCTTACGCTATTTTTAGGTATTTAAATTTTTTATTTTAAATTTTCGAAATTTGCTCGCACCCTACGCGCAAGCTCCATCCCGTGACTAAAGTCCGTGACTAAAATACTTTAGTCACGGCTTTGGCCCTTTTATAGGTCAAAATAGAAAAAATAATTTATATAAAAATAAAATATTAAAAATTTTGTGTTTGCTCATTTGTAAATTCTAAATTCTTACATTTTTTTATATTTTTCTGTTTCAGGTAACTGTCCGAATGGTAAATTACGCCGCCTCCCCAGCGTCGCTTTTTCCGCACGTACGAATAAATATTTAGCCTGGCATTTAAAAAATACGACGAATACACACAAATTATAACGCGTAGTTATGTACCTTCTTTTCCACTTCCATTCATTTTCGAAATTATAACATGCGCACGTTTGCCAGCCGCCCCCGTGCTCACAAGCAAGGCAAACACAACGGTTACATGCCGCCCGAGGAGACGTATTCGGGTCAGCGCGCTCTTTAAATTTTTCCCGTCGTCTGTGTACTTTTCCTTAAACTTACATAACCCACTTTGCAGCCGCGGGCATAACTTAAAAAGCGCCCTTTTTTGCGCCAATCGAATGCACGATGACAAAAGCCGCTTGTGTGTTTTTCGCCGCTGTGTGCCGCCATGCATGCACGCTGTACGTTGTGTACCGGGGTTATTGAGCAAAAGTGTTTGGCAGTCACTTTATTGGGTTCGAAGGCGACTTCAAAGACTTGCGGCATGATGATGGCGAGAGGGCGACTTTTCCCTTCAACCCCCGCCCGCGCGCGCTTGCGGTGTAACCTTGTATCCCGACCGCTAACCGTCGTTTCGGTGTGACTCGTCGCCATTAGAGTGCCGCCACTGGCGCAAAGTGCGCGCCCCCGATATCTACACCGTCCGCATCCGCCACACGTATAAGTTGGGCTAGTTACACACTGAATTAGATCTCGACGTCATCAATTTTCATGATCAAAGCCGAATGCTTTCAGTGCTGCCGCACGAAATGTAGCCACTCACTCCGCCTATATTTATCGTCGCGCCGTCATTTTTTTGCTCGCTGAAAGTTTTCGCCGATCGAATTAATTGACTTCAATTTGTGAAGGACATGAAACGACCGGCGACAATTCACTACTGCTGTGTAGCGCACAAATGAGGTTAAGCAATTATACCCGCCATTTTCCCAAAAAAAAAAACGCGCTGCAAAGTTTTATCTACGATCGCTTCATTTTTATTACCAACGCCAAGCCGTGTTTTACAAACACTTACAATCTGTTTTTGCTAGGATGTCAGCTTATAAAAAACACGTTTACCTTTGTTGTGCAATCTTACCGCTCCATCTTCGTGGGTGAGCGAACGAGCGCTAAGATTAAACTCTCAGGTAAACATCTCTCCTGAATAAACAATTTGCGCTAGATAAACATCGCTTCTTAGTAACCGCATCCCTCATAATGCGGCGTTATTAATTCAATTAGGAAAAGACCTAATTGCCGCGCGGCGCGTCTTCAAATCGTTCGCTAAATTCGCAAACGCAATCATAATATTTGACACCTTAAGGTCAATATTTATGAACGACGGTTTCGCATCGCGTTCCTAAAATGTTTACTGCATTAACGCCGGCGCGCGTCGGAGTATTCACTGCGATTAGAATTCGAGGGCGGAAAATTCGCGCCCGCGTGGATTATCTCAGCGGGACCGCAGCACTTCGGAAAGCAGAAAAATAAAATGAAATATACGCACATATCACGAGATATACGCGCGAAGCGTTCGACCATTTGAGCAATCGGGATTAACGATTTATCCGCAGTCGAGGTTGGTTTTTTCCTGCTCGCCCGTTTTGGGAGATTGGATACAAGTGATTTATTAACTTTTTTAATTAAAAGCAAAAGCGAAAACATATACAATATTTTTAAAAGTAATAAATTTATCTTTTATCGAAAATTCGTGCCGGTAACTTGAACTCGCGAACAAATCTTAACGACGTTTACTCGTCCAGCACACCAACCAAGTTGTGTTGTGGTGTTTTTGTTGTGCGTTTGGATTTCAGACGAGTGGTAGAAACGAAGCGAAAAGAACAAAGCAATCAAACGGAAAAGTTGGCGTTTTGCGCGCCGCGAAGGGTAGAGAACCACATTGTTAATGGTCTTTCGGGTGGAGGCGCGCGCGGAGAGCACGATACTGCCCCCGGTGGAGTGGCGAGGCGCGCGCCAAGGCGGTGGAACAACACTGCGGACCACCTTAATGGCACCAAGTGTCCGTTTCGCGGTTTCGTCGGTCTGTTTACTGCCACGCTTTCTCTGCTTATTTTTTTGCGCTTCTTTATGCGCTGGTGACCGCTACAAACCCGGGACGGCACTTTGGTATTATTTGCACAAGTGGTGTGCACTTGAAAAAACCATGTCGGATTCATTTCCACCATCCATGTGAATATTTATTTTCCACATGTATTACACACAATGTTTTTCGCCCATTTATAAAATTGATTTTTTATGCAGAAAAACATCTAATCCTAATAAGTTCTTAATGCGCGCGTATTGCATGCGAATTGTATGTTTGCTCTCAACTAGCCGCCCCCGGTGGAGGTAATGCACGCATGCAGCACGCGACACACGCCCGGAAGGTCCTACGGATGCGACTCGCATGCGAATTTTACGACGCACTTACGTACTATATTGATATCGGCATCCGGCCGCCACCACAAATGTTTCGCCCGCGCGCGGATTTGCATAAAGTGTGTTATCTATGGAAATAAAGGGTTTCATCAAATATTAAGGCGACCGATTTGAATTTTACGTTGTATTACCGCGCTATCTGTGCGGGCGCCAACGCCGCGCGCGCCTATGATACGATTTCATCTAGATCTCGCGCGTGGTGGGCGGCGTGGGTTTTGCGCGCCGCGCTCGCTAACAAGTATCAAAAGCGTAAAGCCATAAATATGTGACATGGATTTAGCGGTGGAGTTTGCCGGGGATGTTATTTTTAAAATTAAAATCTAATTTCAATGCAAAATGTAAATTTTATGTTTTATTCGGCGCACAACAATGATTTTGTGGTGGAATAAAGCCATGGCATTAAACATTTTAACGGCTCAAGGGCAATAAAAATATAATTTCCGCACGATACTATAATTTTTAATAAATTAGCGCTGGGAATATTAAAAAAACATTTTTCTGTTACAAAATTGTTACAAAATTTTTGTCACTAAATAAAACGCATATTTGATACGCTGAGCAAACTTCCGCTTGTAGGCAAATCAGAGTATTTGCTTACCTTCGTTCGCGAATAAATAATATTGCGCGCCTGGGTCCTTGGCGTGCGTGTTTCTAATGTTTGCATTTAATTCACTGATGCACGTCGCTTCGCATGGCTTCTTGTATCGCAAATTATTTACAAAACATGTGCGCCTGCATACGTAAAGAAGCCTCCAAGACGTCGCCGGCGTCTACACACAACACAACTCTGTTTTGCTATTTCCAACACACAACAAAATATTTGGGCCAAAGTGATGCGGGAAATTTTGTTTGCGCAAATGTCATCAGAAGATGTGTATGAATTTTTAACTGAAATCGTTTCCGAAACGAAAATGGGTTTGCTCTAAACGACGCCGAGGAGGCGGCGAAAAAAGCCTTGCACAAACATTCATCGGGTGTGACAAATCGCAATGCGAAGTACAAGTACGTGCATTCGATGCAGGAGGCACTCGCCGACGCAATACGCGCTCGCGTTTGGCGAGCAATTGCTGTTACTGGCATTACCAGCGTCGCTACAGTTTACTTTCAATTTATTCCGGGACCGTTAGCAGCTTAGCAACACGCCCGCGCACACACCGCACCGAAATGGAGATACAGCACGTTTGCCATATATTCTTTTCATCATGACTTTCAATTAAATTCTTTCAATCAGTACACAAATATCGATTTGGGAAACAAAAAAAAACCAAAGCCTACAAGGGACCAACCAAAATAAATATTCCTTTATCAAAAAAAAAAAAAAAATCATTTTCGTTTTAGACGAATAAAACCATATATGATGTCAATTTTGATTCTAAAATGTTTGTTGCGAGACGAAATAGAGTGTAAAAGTGAAATGTGAACGTTAATCATAACGTTACGAGCTGCTTTCGGAAATGGCAACAATAAACCTATAACAAAACATGTTCAACAAATTCCACTTCGTATGCGCTAGCTCACCACGGTCGGAAAAGGTTCGCTTTGCCACGCGGCGTAAAAACGTGCGTAACCACCGCCACCGCCCACGTTATTATATATTTCGAGTACTGATTTAATTAAATAAATCCTATTAAACCGACCAAAACCGCCTTCGTTGGCGCGCAGCGCGCGCGCTCACCGACCCCGCGATACACAGCACGGGCCGAAAAACGTAATTCC